TCCAGATGCACAACCATTGAAAAATTGATCCTTGCAAGAACATTTCTGCACCCTTTATATTGTGATTTTTTTGTGTCAGCTTGTAGGATAAAGGAAGCCAATGTGATCAATCAGAGCAAAAGTTAGCTCCTACATGGAGACCGAGCATCAGTGTATCAGTGTGAATATTGGCTGATAACAACCGTTAGAGTAAACCAGTCAGCCATAGTTCAAAATATATTAATATAAAACAAGAAGAATGCTTCCCAACGCACACCAAATGGAAGATGTTGTCAGAATAATGCTGTATCTCCCTGTAAGCCCTGCTTCTAGCCACCCTGAATTATCTCGTATTCCTAAAGCGTTCTGGGATATCCATCAATTCCATAAATAACGATCTCTGTACATTGTCCTGTTGTCTGCGGTCACCCTTTCTACAGTATTTTCCAAAACTGGCAGTATTAAATTCCTCAAAAGCCTTTTTTTTTTCCTATTTCCTCTTATCCAGCAGACCCTCAGTATAATGACCTTTTCTATTACTTAAAAGTACCACTGGGATGTCTCCTGCTTCCCTAGAAACTTCCAGGCTATCTTTAAACGTTATCAAAGATACGGAAAATTCAAATCTTCATGACTGGGCTACCTTCCCCAGAGTGTCATAAAAAGTGAAATAATTCCTAGACTAATTATTGCCTCAAGCCCGAAGTGTCATTTACAGCTTCAGATCAGGAGAAGGGGGATAAAAGGACATCCTGGGTACCAGCGCAGCCTTTTTGGACACTAGCAACCAAAAATAGTCTCTTCTGTTAAACAAGAGGAGCAGGTATGCAAGAAACAGTATTTGTGTTGACAGCGTATCTTGAAAATACTATGATAAACTGAGTAATTACATTTTTTCAGAGTTGATGTTGTGTTTGTTGAAGCTTCATTTCCTGGTTTTTAGTGATTTAATTGTATCCACTTTCACAATTTGTAAAGCATACAGCACACTGGTTAACTTTAACTTTGAGGTCTTTAGTAAACTAAAGTGCAGAGGCACTTGGTTTGAACTGAGGGAATGAAGTTCCCTATCACCTTTAAGAAAAAAGACAACAAATCCTTGTGTCGTATCCAGCACTATCTTTCCTACAAAAATAGTATCCCAAATGACAATAACTGGCCTTATTTGTTTTATAATATTAGTGTCTAATTTATAACTTTGAGGTACTTAGAGTATGAAATACTACATGATAATATGAAAAAAAATCTGCTCCAGTCTAAGCAAGTGTAGATTTAGTGCTACTGAGGGGCTGCCACTCTCTCAAAGCTGAGGATATTTATCATCAACTCATTTGCAGGGTTTATAAATTAAATATTTTTGATATAGATCACATGCCATTTATTGGCATTGAGCAAATCACCATTGAAATTCTGAAGAAGTGAGCACAAATTAAATATGAAAGTAGGCTTCAGACTTTTCAGGCTGCTGTCACAGCCTGCTACACGTAGTTCCCACTACAGAAATCTACACAAAAATGTTAAAAGAGAGTGTATATCTTCTTACTGCTTTTCCATGATTGAGATGACATGTTCGCTGTCAGACTAATGCTCTTCTCAAATTGCCGTCTATGATATTGTTTGAGCAGATCCGATTGGCTGAAAGGAAGGGAAAGAATCCTTTTGGTGTATCAGATCAACATACAAATACAGGACACAGTACAGGAAAGGTGCACAAACACAGGAGTCATAAAAAAGGAAGGTAAAACTATTTATTCAGTGCTGGTCCTTCCCTTGTGACCTCATCAAAGAAATAATTTTTACAACTTTCTTCAGTTTTAGCGCACATCATTGTATTACAATCTTGACGCACAAATCAGGAGAACGGTGCTGATACTTGAACTATAAGGTCGCAGTGTAATGAGTACTGTGAACTGTATAGACTTCTGAGAAATAAAAGCTGATTAATCTTGTTTGAATAACCCAGCTGACCTTAAGTGATGATCTTGTTTTTATAGGGCACTGAAGAACTAGAGGTTCGAATTCTGGTGCAGGCTCGACCAGGCCAAGATATCAGGTCTGTAAATAACCTACTGTGTAAACAGTTAAACATATCTGTAAGGAATAGAAAGGCTCGTGATTTTTATGTAGTCATTGTTTGACCATAAACAGTACTGACATTTTGACATAATGACTAATGAACCTCCTCAGAGATTCCTCACCTTGAGCCAGACCAGTCAAGGAAAGGTACTTTCACTCATTCTGTTTTTCTTTCCTTTTTTTCTGTGCTATGGTTTTCAGACCTATAGGACACGACATTAAAAGAGGTGAATGTGTGCTGGCTAAAGGAACCCATATGGGTCCCTCTGAGATTGGTCTCTTAGCAACTGTGGGAGTAACAGAAGTAGAAGTTAACAAGTTTCCAGTGGTTGCAGTCATGTCAACAGGGAATGAGGTAAGAACAATATCTTTAGAATCAAGTTGTGAATTACTATATCTTCTGCAGGACAGGAAGAGTGTTTTGGACAGTGACTTTAACCCTGTTTCCAGGTAGATTGGCCAGTTGTTGATGAGCTCATGACGACATGTGTTTTTATGAGTGATCAGCCCATAATCAAGTTGTTGCGTTTACTCCTTCGCAGGTTCATAGACCCTTGCTCTCTCATGTCTCACACATTTTATTTGGCAAAATTTTGATAATGCATCCAACCTTTCTCCCTGCCGGGATAAGGGAGGACCTGTGGGGGAGTCAGAGTTGTGAATTACCTCCAGTCTTTACTGGAAAAGTAATTCCTTTTGAACAGCAGTCCTCTGTAGCTATTCTGCAATTGGGAGGTTATATTGGCAAATGCTGTGCTGTAGTACTGTGTTCTTTGCTGGAGTCTTCTATGCAATTGGTGATCAGTGCCAACAGAACTTCTCCTGAGATATCAGACCTGATCATGTCTTTACAGAGAGAAGCTTCTTATATTTTGATAATATAAACCCTAATTAGGACGTTTCAGATAATTAAACAAGAACAAAATCTTTCACAGAGAAAACAATCTTAATGTTGGGCGGGGAGGGTTATTAGTAGCACATATTGAAATTCGGACAATCTCCTATTGCTGGAACTCCAGACCAGCATCCTGTTCCTCTAGTCTTAACAACATGAGAAAAAGCAAGTTCCAGTTTAGCTTAATTTACTAATTTTAAATCTTAAAAAACTGGGGCTAATACTGTTGTTTCCCAAAAATTTTAGGGAAAGGCTCTCTTTTCTTTAATCCTCAGTTTGATCAGCTTAGATTGGTTACTTTCAGGAGTGTTCAAAAAAAAAAATACTCACCTGGACATTTCTTCTATGATTCCATAAAAAGGATTTATGGAAAGCACACTGAGTGATATTTGACCTACTGATAATACTGCTAAAACTCTTCCTGCCTATATTTCATGCATTATAACAACAGTGCCATAAAAGTAAAAGGTAATACACATGAGCTAAGGATCAGGGAAATAGTGTACATGACTGACTATACGTAAAAAATCTCTAAACAAAAACTTGAGAGCAATTTGCCTAGTTAGTAGAAACAGCTCTTTGGAATAAGATCTGCATGTGACTGGACTGGTTGCTATCAAAATATCTTTTGTGGGGGGCATGCTGCTTCTACGTACATGGTCCCAATGTGCTATAAAATCCAAATCTTCATGTTTTGTGCTCTGTTGTGTGCTCCAAGAAATATAGGCAGCATCCATGTTTGACATGTCTGTCTTTTGTTTTGAGATCCTTTGCAGCTCAGTTTCAACAATACTCAGTTTCAAAATGAGGAACGTGAATTAAAAGAGAATAGGATAATGCCAAAGAGGAATTTTAAAACCTGTTTTAACTGCTTGCAGCCAGTACACCTGTATAAGATTTAAGCATTTGGACCAACTGCTATAAAATATATTTTAGATCTTTAGCTGAGATTATACTTTCTCATCTTTAATCAATAGAAAATCAATATCTCAATCAATCGTTGAGCTACCTGTGATATGTTAAATATGCCATTTCCCCAAGTATGAAGTTTGCCTTGACATTATGACTGTTCTTTGAGATCAACTTTTTGAAGACCAAACACAAACATATCACCCTAGTTGTATTCTATCCCACTGAAAACCTTTGATATGTTTAATTTTAAAACCTCTTATTTAAAACAGTCATAAAAATAAAATTCCATTCACGTTTGTCCAAGCCATTTCTGTTTGGCACTATCAGCTGGTATCTTTAAAACTTCCACAACCTCGGTGAAGGTGAAACAGCCCCTGTGTGACCACCCGGTGCTGTGGGTGGCCTTGTTGGGACAGAATCTTGTCAGGCTTCATAAATAGACAGGGTCTGTTCTACAGGAAATACACCGCTAACTGAAGAAGAAATCCAGAGAGCTACGAGGAATACAGATGATGATTTGCTGAGTAGTATCTTCCATGTGAATGAAGGTTCTTGCATGTTATTAAAGGGCTCTGTACTGATGTAGGTGCTCTTTTTCGTATTGTTTGTTAAATCAAGATCCTGCACAGCGGGTTTCTTAAACATGCTGTGGAACTTTTCACAGAAATAGAGATGCTACTCAAAATTTAGCCATGCTCCGGTCTTGGTCATTCTTACCTTACTATCTAATATTATCATGGTAATTTTGACTGATACCTTATTATTATTATTTTTTTCCTTCTGTCAATATTTGTGCTCCTATGTCCTATAAAAGAATTCCTAATATATATAAAGTATGTGTTTAGATATGCCTGTTTTATAATTTAACTTCAAAATGTAAGGGACATTTAAGGCAACTGCCATAGTACTATGTTGAGAGGAAGTTTTTCATCCAAAACAGTAATTGATAGAAGAAACAAGCTTTAGCTTTTGTCTCTTAGTCCAACACAGATTGTTATATTTAAAATGTATCTTTTTTAGCAAGTAGATGACAAACTTCAAAATTTATTTAATGCCTTTACGTCTGGTTGGTAACATCATCGAGGTTCCTGTAAAACCATTTAGGTAGAAGCAGTAACTTGGAAACTTAGAGCTTGTGTTTTGATTTATAGCAGTTGAGATTAAAGCTCTGGTACCCACAGGGAGAAATAAGGTTTTGCGTACATGAAACAAACTAAGCAACATGGAGTAGTGGACTTCATAAACACATTACATGTCTTATTAATTTAAATTCACAAAATCACTCTGCACACATACTCTAACATTGTCGTATCCAGTCTGAAGAATGAAATTTTCACTTGTGTAAAGACACAGTACTCTGAGGAGACTGACTGATAATATGTCTGGTTTTATAGCTACTGAATCCTGAAGATGACCTCTTACCAGGAAAGATTCGGGACAGTAACCGTTCAACTCTCCTAGCTACCATCCAAGAACATGGCTATCCAACAATCAACTTGGGAATTGTGGGAGATAAGTAAGTACCACATGTTAGTAAAGATGTCAGTTCATGTTCATGCAGTGCACTTAATGGCATCTATGGAACAAAATACCAGAGAAACTGTCACTCGCTGCAAATGTCACAGTGTTCTGAGAAAGCACATTTTGGAGAAAAATTGTACTTTGTTCCTTAGCGAATTAAATAAGTTATTTTAATATTGAGAGGAAACATTTGATAAGACTGTTTTTATTGACCGATGTTTATCTTGTTTTGCTTTCTGTTTATTGAAACTACTGCTAATTGAATTTTATTGCTGCAGTGTCATCACAAGCACAGTATTTAATATACATAAGAACCTTTCTCTGAGGAGAGATTTCTACAGGAACAATATTTTTTTCTGATCCAATAAAGAGAGAAGGAAAGTTTCCCTTAGAGTTTATTTTCCATACTAAAATTAATTTAGAGCATATATTTTTGTCAGATTCTAAATCACTGTCTTTTGGGAAAGGCCCCACTGCTGGATATTGCTGACCATTTCCAGAAATATGTCAAAATATTTAAAAGAATCACTTTTTTTTTCCTTCACTGGTCTCTGTTTTGATTGCCGCAAAGTAGTACCCTGTAATCAGTCTTTCTGTTCATCTGATAGTGCTTGCTCCTTGTTTCCCACTGGTAGTAAAGCCACATCTCCTGTTGAGATCCTCTAGGATAAATGATTGAAGTGTTCAGTCTTTTGTTCTTTGCAAGACTGTGCAGTTCCCATGATCAGTGGTTTGAGTTTCTCAGCATTACATTTTTCCTCAATTTATTGAGCCCCAAAGTCTTTGAACTGGCTTTCTTGTTTCTCGTTTTGTGTATTAGACCAACTGACAGACTTCAGGGAGTTCTTCAAGTTCACCTCCACCTATCTAATAAGTAGGGTATTCCTTGTGGCTAGATAAAAGTAAGGCTGGCACAGAAAGAAAAAAAAATGGAAATGACTCAGTTTCAACACCCACATTTCACATTAATTGATATGATAGCCTTAAGAAAGTAAGAAAGTTCAGCACCAAAGGTGTCTGTATGCACATATTAAAGCCCACAGATTTTTGAAGGATTTAGATGTTGCTAGACCGTAGTTAAAGTAGTTTCACAAGACTCATTTGTCAGAGGTAGACTTGGAACTCTTGGAACTCTTTACCCTTCTGGATGCTCTTATTGCATCTTGGAATCCTTTTTGCTTCTTTGGTCCAGCAGAACTCCATTGCTGTTCCAAATAGCCATAGACTTCAAAAACCTTCCTCTCCATGAATGCTTCCAGTTTCAGATGGAGTCTAAATTCATGAAATTGTTCTTTCCAGGAATGGTACCTAAGTGTTCTGGATCTCTAGGGTGTCTTTTATATTGTAAGGTCCACCAAGAACTTTAAAGCACAAGTAGTGGTGTTCTCAAAGAAAACTACTGTAGCCAAACATCAGGTTCTGCGTTTACCTATCTGGGAAAAAAAGAGAACAAACACAAAAAAAGGTTGTCAGTTGTAATCAGCTCCTCTGAGTGCTCTCAAGATAAAAGAAGGGTAGGTGGGGGGGTTTCCAGCAGAGTATTGGATGTGGAACTTTTTGGCACCTACATCAATAAAAGTTTTTGCTACTGTCATCAAAGGACCAAGAAGAAGATACATTAGCACTGGATTAATCCAGTGGAAAAGGTGGTTTCCCTGAACATCTTTCTAGTTGTCTGTCTGGTAAAGAATGTGAAGCTTGCCTGTTTTTTCTATCCTTAGCCTGAACAAATAGGTATAGTCTCAAATATGTTGTAAAGTCAGCTCCATCAGATGAAGAGTTTCATTTCAGATCATCATGCAAAACTATAGCTATTTGCTCCACTGCCTCAGGAAGTTTTCTATAACTTCCTAGCTCCTGAAAGCATAGAGATTCATGAGCGTAGTGTGTCTGTGCAGAGAATTAATCTCAAAAGCTCTCAGAAATAAATAGTAAACAGTTGTAATGAGATATAATCAGGTCCAAGTGAATTCTTTTACTTTTCTGGCACAAATATATCTTGCAGCATCCTTTTTTACTTGTTGGATGCTAGCTGAAAAACAGACTGCAAACATGTATATCGTCAAAGGTAGACAAGTGTTTGCAGCTTTGCTTCCAGTCTTGGGAGCAGTGGTCTTGAGATAGTATTATCTTAGCAAAGATGATAGGAGATGTTTTTAAAACTCTCGTTTTCATGCTTGGGAAGTTATTTTTGCAGAGGTACTTACTTTAGCTTGTGAAATAGAACTAATGAGCCTCCACTTCTAGAGTGACTTTGTACTTTGCAGGAAGTTTTAAGAGAGTAATTTGGTACTGTTGCTGAGAATCCTCACCACCTGATACAAGGATTCTATCTTAACAGGTCTTCTGCCATTCTTCTCACACTCACGTACCCAATCTATGTATTTACAACCAAAGAAATCTGTATTTCTGTATTGGTCAAAGGAAAAATTTGAGTAGGTAAATTAATTTGATAGAAAGTATGATATTACTCCATTATGTAACAGTTGGTGAGAGTATGTTGTCCCTATGGATATTTCAGTACATATCCTTTTGACTAAAATGACTGCTTTGATGCAGTACCATGGCATTTAATCACATGCAAGAGTCTTACCAGAGAGACCTTATGCAGAGTACAGTTTTGAAGCTTTAGTTAACATATTTATAGAAAAGGTAAGCAAGCCTTCAGTATCTGTTAAATGGTTTACCTGAGTTAAACCATAGATTATGCATCTTTGTGTGTGCTCATGTATATGTACAGTTTTGTTTGTATGTGTATTATGTATATATGCTCTAGGCAATATGCTCTAGGTGACCCTGCTTGAACAGGGAGGTTGGACTAGATGATCTCCAGAGGTCCCTTCCAACCTAAACCATTCTGTGATTCTGTGATTCTGTATACAGATAGTGAAAAAAGGGAGATTTTATATGCCTGCAATACCCGTGCATGTGGTAGAAATATTAGCAAAGGATACTTTTTACAAGTGCAGATTAAAAGCTTGTAATTGTTTATTTGAAGACCTCATTGTGAAATATTTTTGTCTCTCCCATATTTCAGATTTTGGAGATTGTATTCTTATTCCTTTTTTCTATTTTTTTCTTATTTTTTGTTTAAACATTTTCCTCTTAGTAAATGGTTAGTATATTTACTGAGAGCATCACTTCATCTACAACCTAAGAATTGACTCGAGTTTGAGAGTGGTCAATAGGTAGCATAGTAAAGTATTACTATTGCTGTCATGCATCAAGTTTTTTAAAAAGCATAGAAATTATATCAGTCACATATAAGGAGCATATCAGTCATATCAGTCATATATAAGTCATATATAAGTCACATATAATTTTCACATGAAGTGTGAAAATTGTTTTAGAGTAGTATTTGCAAAGACAAAGTTACAGGTAAGTATTCCTATTTTTCGTTTCAGCATATGAATCATGCAGCAGTCTTTATATAAGAAAATAGCTTGTCCAGGTGAAGCAGGTACACAGTGGCAGCTGCTTCAAAGCCTTTTAACAATTTGTGAGATTGTCATTGTTTATTTCCATTCTCTTAACTTGTATATAGGACTCAATATTCAAAATTAAAAATCGCAAGTCCAAAACTTGTAGATAAAATCTATAGTTAAACTCCTAGAGGTAAGCAATATAGGAAAAGAACAAACCTGGAAAATGCCAAATAGCTCAATTTATAGCTGGCTAAAAGCCAAGATTTTCTCTGTTTGTGCTTTTAGCACATAAAAACCAAGCTGTTTGAAAAGTGCACATCTCTGAGATAGAAAGGGAAGATATTCCTGAAGCATAACTCCAAACACAAGAAAACAATACAAAACCTAAAAAGGAAGAACTGTTCTGGTTTTGTTCTTGCTGTTGTGTCTTGCATCTTCATCTGGATCACAGAATCACTCCTTGCTAAAAAATTGCAATTTTTCAGTTGGCCAGTTGTAACGGGCATGCCAATGTGACTTTTGACTTGTACAGCAAGACCAAGTAAGAAAGGCTTCTAATTTCATTTTCTTTGCTTATATTCCATGGAATTATTTGCTTCTTTAGAAAACATTGATTAAAATAAATAGGTACATCTCTGCTCTGAGTTGTAGAACTCTGTTAACTTAATTATCAGGATACCTTTATGTCTGCTGATTTCATTTGTGTTGTTCTTTATATTCACTGTTTATTAAAGCTGTAAAGTTTAGCTCTAGCAAAATGCGCTATAAAATGGGCCTCTGTTTCAGAAAACCATCTTTCATGTTGGCTGTTTTCCTTCTATGGGAGATTCTTCTGTTAAGTTTGCTAATGAATTTTGATGACGTATGTGATGAATTCAGTTTCCTTCTCTGTTTTTTACCCTTTGTATACATGAGTGCATTTACCCCTTCTGTGGTTTCCTTTCCCTATTATTCTGTTTCCCTTATCCTTTTTTTCAGATACACATGTATAACCTTAGCTGCTTACAGCTGTATTTTTATTTATCACCCTGTGGTTTCACAATGGAGAGAGAAAGAAACTCTTCTCAATTTCAAGAGACACTTTAGAAAATTCACATTATCTGCTCAATTGCTTTAAATATTTATCATGATAGTTATAAATTCAGCAGCATCAGATTTTTTTCACATTAGAAGTGATTATTTTCTCATTTATATGCCTCTCTTTTATGACACATCATTTGACATAGAGCTCCCAAGTGACAAGTAAACCCATTAAAAATCACGCTTGCTGTTGTGACAACATTACATTATGATATCCCTAAAATAAAGACTTTATGTTAGAGTTCCTTCATATTTTGGAAGGGATACTAAGACCTGACTCATTCAAGGATTTAGTCTGCTTGAATTTTGTTTGCCGTCCAAGTAGAGGTTTAAATCTTTTGTAGTTGTGTGGGTTGCCTGTAATTACCAATATTATAAATCTAGTGGAACTTTTGGAGTGGAGGGGGAATAAGGGGACTCTAAACTGTTGTGCAATATCAGTTTGACTTATATTATCACATGAGTTAAAGGCAAAATTCAGCCACAGAAT